AGCATTCGTTACCCCAAATCTTATGTCCTAGGTTGTTTTGCAGCGTCCCTGTGTGTCTTCTTTCCCTTATTTACTTTTATATTTCAAATATTATGAATACTCTTTATTTCCACAGTCAAATAACTGAGTTGATCTTATATTTAATGTAGAATTGAGCTATTTGTATCTTATACTTCAAGATTTTGAGATTGTTTTAAGAAAACAAGCCAAAGTAAATGTGCAATCTCTTCAAAGATTGTGAGGAAAGCCATTATTTGGAATAGTCCTCAAAACTAAAATGGTATCAGCTGATTAGAAACTAATGAAGTTAATGAAGGGACTGGAGTTATTTTGAATAGCTCCACCCATACTCCACCCCTTGACTGTTGTCCCACTATATGAATAAGCCTTCAAAACTGCTGTTGAGTGGTATGAGCTGGTTCTGGCAGGCAATCATGTTTTACCTTTGATTTTCTGTTTTTCTTTTTTTGATACTAACAAGATCTTGCTGGAAAAACTGTGGAGCATAACTCTTGTCCTCTTAATTGTTTTAACAATGGAGAAAATAATTAACACAATAAACAGCCATTGAATACCTGCCACATGAAAGCAATTATGTGAGGAGTATGAGAATTAAAAGACTGTATAAATAAATAGCACTACAATTTAGTGAGTACAAGCAAGGGTGCTGAAGTCAGAAAACCACAACTTAAATTCTAGCTTTCCCTCATAGTAGCTGTGTGACCTTGATGAGTTATCATGTGGTTCTAAGTCACAGTTCTCTCTTCTGAAAAAGAAGCTTAATAATAGTGACTGCCTCCCAGGATTGTCCTAACAATCCAAAAGAAATGCTTAATTCAGTGTTTGGCTTAGAGTAGTGATTAACAAATATAGCTAGTTTATAAATGGAAAAATCTTCAAAGAAGATGAAAATATAGGAGAATTGGTAGGAAGCCAAGAAACAGAACTAGGTAGATAGATATTGGAAAGTGGCAAGATGTACAAACTTTAAAACTTCAGCAAAAAGACAGAAAAGCCTGTTTAAATTAGAATTTTCTGTCTTCCTATTCTTCACCAGCTATGCCACGGTCAAGAATGTTCTGAGCCACTTTAATTTCACCTTAAACCATGTACAAAGAGCAAAGCTTGAATTTAACATCAAGGCTCTTGCTGCTCCCTTAGGAATTTAGAGCAATATTTGTATCTTGGCTCGTCAAAGATTAGTAATTTTTATATTAAACAGATTGTTAATGCTAATCATGTGAAAAGACATTCCACCACATTAAGAATACTTCATTTAATAAATACAACATGCAAATTACACTGCTTGGATGGATTTGGGAGAGGCCATGAGAACCTACTAGCTTCTCAAGAAATTTGCTGCGTGGAAATTTGCTCTCATAACTACTCCCTCCCCTGTCTTCAACCTCTATAACTAACAGCAATAGCAGAGAGAAACTCAAAAATAAAGATGACGACTTTGTTATTTCATTCATTTTCAGAACATTTTAACTCAAGAGTTAAAATAATGTCAATCACAATCATGCCCATTTATAATCCCTAATCAATTTACATTTTGGTTTTCATAATTGTGCTGCATCAAGAGACATTTTTTTTGGCTGCATGTTTAATGAAATATCCTCCAAACTATAGATAGTATTCAACAACTATTGTCCTTTAGTAGAAATCCTGTTCAATTTTCAGATTTATATGATTCAAACATTTTAAATCTTATAAACACCTCAATCTTAGCAGAGTGTGTTATTTTATTTGCTAGGAGGCATTTGTCCATTCCTAACCCTTTTACCTTCAGAAAATAAATGACACATGTGACTCGAAAATTAAATCAATCTTGACTGAAAAAGAAATAATAAAAATAGCTAATGTCTTTATCATCTCCATAGCAAGCCTGCGGGGCAGACATTGTTGCTGCTTCAGTTTTGTAAGATGCATTATATCTTGCTAATCCTCAATAAATATGAAAAAGTGATCATTTCACAGCTAAGAATTGACAAACCGGAACACATTTCTCATTTGAATAGACAAGATAAGCAGGTTGCCACCAGTGCTGCCATCTCTGCCTACGGGTGTGTTGTGTCCCGGGCAGACACTGTTGGTTCATCTTTAGGTCACTGCTATCTCATTTCTATTTGTCTATTTCTCGATCAGAGCTCAGATTCACATTCCAGACAACTACCTGTCTTAAGGACCATTCTGTTACCTATGTTCTGCGACATAATTTAAAGAAATGAGTAGCCCCAATTAAACCATTCCAGGTGTAAATTTCATGCTTGGAGAGAGAATTGAGAAAAGAACGGGACTCATGAATATAAATTGGGCTCTCCTTACACTTAAGTTTTCATTTTGAAATTGCAGGGTATTCACTCCCCACATAAATCCTTATTTGCCTTAAGTATGTTTACTGTGGGAACCCTAGTGCAGAGCTGGTAGCCCATTGCTATGCATAACTGAATATTAAAGTTCACAAATCATCAGGAAGAGGAGAACTGGTGAGGGAAACGCTTGCTGCAATGCAGCAGCATCTGTGCTGGCAGCAAAGCTGAGTCCTGCTCTCACGAGCTCTGTGCCTTGATTGAGATGGGGCCACCCAGCCTTCCCACTCTTTCTCTCTCTGAATATTATTTGATGTGTGCTCTCTCTTCCTACCAAGGCATTCTGTTTTCTGAATGTCTTAACAGCCCTGTTATTTCTTCCTTCATTCAGTTTTTGTTTCGAAGCTAGTGTAATAAATGAATCTCTTGGAGACCACCTCTGTTTTTGAACAGTTGACTCTGAAAGAATGGAAGGATTTGATAAGTGAATACATAAATAATCATCAGACACTACACCACTCACTCCTCTTTCCTCCCCTTCCCTCCTCTTCTTCTCCCCTTCTACCCTCTCTTATTTTTGCTTACATAGTAGCTGTATATATTCTGCAAAGGATCCATTTGAGGCCACCTGGGCTTTCACTGTATGATCAACTATGAGCCAAAATATTAAGTGACATTTCTCTCACTTTCAACTTGTGCTTTGAATCTTCAAACAGAAATTAGGTCATTTTATATTCACAATCACATGGACTCGAGAGTGAGTACACATTGCCTGCTCATTGCTGTAGAACTAAATGGTAAGGAGGTCTGCTGGCCATAAGTTTTCTACAATCATTCCAAGCTATGCTCTTACACATATAATAATTCATGCTGTAAAGAACTTGATGTGATTTGGAATAATGTCATAGTAAAATGGTAATATAGCCACAGAATTTTCTGGGCAATTGGTTGTAGGAATTAGAATGAAAGATCTAGACAGTGACAAACAATAGAAAACAATTTTTTGCAATTAATGTTAAAAGAAATTTCTCTCAGGTGCCTCTGCATATGAGGCCTCCTGAGGGGTAGCAATAACAGGAATATGGCCTGAGTTACTTTTCTGGTTTCCCAAGTCTGATGGTTTTTCCTTATTGTATGAATTGTAAACACTCTAGGTATGCAGACCTCTGGGATGATCTTCCTAGTCTTAAATAGACTTGCCAAGAATGCTAAAGGGAGGTTTTGATTGTGGACTCTGGACAGGCTATGACTGGAAGAAAGGTAGCCATTATCCTTAATTATATTCATACCATGTGGTGTCTTTACAAGAATTTGAAATAATTCAGTAAATTAAAACCTTATGAGAATGAATTAGGATGAATAGTGGGAACTTAAAACAATGGGACACATATTCATAAAGGTCAAAGGGGCTACAAAATGATGCGATGATATCTGTAAACAAACTGGAATGATTATATACATATGATTTTTTAAAGATCATATTATTATACAATTTCAAAAAATAAATAATTTATGAACAACATAAAAAATAAGGTCAAAGCATACCTTTTTAAATTACTCATTGACTTTACTCACCAACTGTAAGCACAGGACAGTCCTCCCAAATTGGCCTTTTCCCAAGCTCTCTCAGGTGTTCCAAACTGAAGACATCTTGCCTCTATCTTATTTGATGAACTGAGCCAATCTTCTAATTCAGTGACAATTTGCAAGCCACATTTCCACACTGTTTCTAAAATGAATGAAGATACATTTTTATATATCAAAAAATAAAGTAGTGTCTCCTGTACATACGATAATATAATTTTATTATCTTCAACACAAAGTTAAAACTCTCACATGCAAAGTATAGGTTATTGATTAATGATGCATATTCATCAGCTATTTTTTTAACCTTTGGTTTCAATATTTAAAATCTGGTTGTAAAACTTAGCTCAGTGTTTGTGTTAAGAAAATCAAGGATTTTAAAGATTCTTCTCAAAGAATTGCTTTAAGATGACTGTTCCACTTAGTCTCAGGTACACGGCATGGTTAATAATATGAACTCTAGAAAGATCTCATTTTGCAGTTTAGAGTGAATGGGTTTCATTTCTCTACCACTATATCATTTTCACCTAAATCATAACTTTCTTCCCAACATTTGCAAGGATAGACAATGGCCTGTCTTTAAGAATACATTTTAAAACACTCATTGTTGTAAAGATTAAAAGAATTGGAATAAATCAATTCTAATCTACTTAAAAAGAAAGCCACCCAAGTGACCCACCCAGAAGGATACAAGCAGGTACATTTTTTAAATGTTGTATTTTGTATTTTCTATTATATATACATGGTCACTTATTGGAGTGTTTTGCCAGAACACTTCTTTTGGGAGTTAGTAGGAGCTATTGGTGAAACAGAATAAAAACATGACGCACCTTACCCTTACAGTTGCCTTTCTGTCTAAGGCAATGTTTGTTGAATTATTCAGGGTAGTGAGTCATTTTCTTCACTAGGACATAAAAAATAGAGTTCATCCAGATTTAACAGGCTGTTTGGTGGTCTCTGTGGAAAATGAGATATTCAGGAAAATGGAATACTAAGGAATGAATCCATTTAATTTTAAAACAACTTGATAATCTGTGAACTCTCCAAAATATCATCAAATTTTTAAAAAGCCAAATATAAAAGTTATAATTTATAGCTGTTAACTGATGTCAATAGAGTCGTCTGTCTTTGTGCCATAAAGAATTTACCATTGTCACATGTGCTCATTGGACCATTTTGCATAACAATAGAATTGTCAATGGATTTTGAAAGCTATAATCTTGTTCACTCTGAGAATTTTTTTTAAAATAAGCATTCTTAGGAAACAAAAATCTGGATAACACATTCCTGATGTGGAGATTGAGCTGTTTGAAGATTACCTTGTGAACGAGTGCTTTTACCTGAAATTTCACTGTGTTTTTTCTGGCACAACCCATTCAAAAGGTTGCTTTTCTTCACAGGTTACCAGCCAGTCTTGTCTGGCCAACAAGCGTTCCAAGGCCTAATGGCAGTGCAGCAGCCACCTCAGAATCAGAGCGTGATGAGCAACCAACAAGGAACTCCGGTGCAAAGCGTGATGGTTTCCTACCCAACAATGTCTTCTTATCAGGTGCCCATAAGCATCTTGGAAAATCGTGGGGTATAAAGTAGCACTTGCTGTGGTAGAAGCTGTGGGTATGTCCCTGGGTTGGTTGATTGGCTGGGTGGTAGATACTTGGGCCAGCCACTGTTGATAATTGACTTTGAATCAAGATTATAGCAGAAAAATAGAAAATATATGCTACTATAACGATTATGACTTTTGAATAACCTGCTAAGTTTGTTTACATATAAACTTTCTATTCATGGAAGAAAATGTATTAGTAGAAAATTTGATTCCTAAAAACCTTCAGGCTTTTATTGAAGTTTTGATTATTGACAGAAAGTCCTCATGGTAAATTCTCATTCATTTTTGTACACACTCGAAGAAACTTCATTCTGCCAAACTTATAAGAGATTTTAAAATAGTATCTCAGATTAATTTAAAGGGCATTTATGAAACCTAAAAACTACATTTTTCAGACTAAATTCAAGTTGAACACTTAAAAAGTGTTTTGTACCCTTTTGTGACATATACTGAAATACCCCAGAAGTAGAAATAAAGAGTTAGTAAAAAGCTTTAATCATTAAATTTAGATGTACCAGGTACTTCTGACTTCAAAGAACCCATCCTACCCTGACTATCTTTACTCACGTTGCATCAGCTGTTACTTCCAGCTCCGATTAGATGTCCTCTAAAGCTACAGGTTGAAAGTGTTGTAGGTGGAAGGTCCCAACCCACTTTGTTTGTCTAAAACCAGAAAGGGAGAATGACTCCCAAACTGAGAGAAACCCAGAGTGTGACATCCAGACCTCAGTCTCTGCAGAGCTTTGAGAGGAGGGAAGGAGACTCAGAATTAACACATTCTGAGCACGTACTGCAAGCCAGACATAGTGCCAGGCACCATACCCCCATCCCTGCAGTCCTCTCAGTGGTACTTTGAAGTCAATGTCATTATCCAAATGGTCTAGGAAATCAGAGAGGTTAAGTGACTTTCCCAATGTACAACAGCTGATAAATGGCAGAGCTGGGATTGATGACCTGTTAGGTCTAACTCAGAAGCTTGACTGTTTTTCATGACTCCTACATAGCCTCTTCATGCAGGGTTCTTGCTTGTGTTTTTACACAGGTGCCAATGACCCAGGGTTCTCAAGGACTGCCCCAGCAGTCATATCAACAGCCAATCATGCTACCTAACCAGGCAGGTCAAGGGTCACTCCCAGCCACTGGAATGCCTGTTTACTGTAATGTCACACCGCCGACCCCTCAGAACAACCTTAGGCTGATTGGCCCACACTGCCCATCCAGCACCATTCCCATGATGTCGGCAAGCTGCAGGACAAACTGTGCAAGTATGAGCAACGCTGGCTGGCAGGTCAAATTCTGAGAGCTCTGGCTGTGGTACATTTCTTCATATATTACTCATGGCCTTTAAGGGAAGAGGAACAAGGTGGGAAAATTGACTGAGGACTTAAGTATTCACTCAACACTCAAAGATTGCTGCTGGTATTCTGTACAAAAAAAAAAATCAACAAAGACTAATTCACACATTAGCTGGTTAATGGTGCATATTTCTGTCATGTCTGCTAGGTATGCCTTTATAGCTTAGCTAGTGACATGAATTCATCAAGGTAAGATTTTCTCCTACCACTGAATACCACTGTGTAGATTATAATATCCCTAATTTGGATTAGTTTTGTACTTTGTGTTGAGTTTGTGATGCTAAAAGTATTTAAAAATTATATACTGAAATCACATTGTACCAAAGCTGTAATGGAAAAAGAAAAGAAGTGAATTAATGGAAGGAATAATTTATATACACTATAGAGCTTTCTTTTTTAATGGATATATACTGTATTGTAGTGTTTAATCAAAATAAAATTATTTGACCTTATGAAGGAAGGTCATGTTTTTAACCACCAGTTTGGTTCACTCTTTCTTCTAATGTGTGTTTTATTATGTGTCACTGTTTTCCCCTTGAAGCACTATTTTATGAAGACTGCCTTAAGAAAATGTTCTGGATATTTGCAAGTGTACTGGCATCACATGGGGAGATGTAGGGAAAGACATAACTGCCTGCAGTTTATTGTCATAATACTGCAGGGGTCCTGAAAATAAGATGGCATCCATTGCATGACCCAAATATCTTCCACTAGGCTGCACCTCTTAACCTGGCTGCATAGGGGATACAATTTCAACAGACATTTCAGAGGGACAAGCCACATTTGAACCATAACACCAGTATTATAATATTCCAAATCTTATATTATTTGTACTGATTTTTTTTTGCATTAGAGTATTTGAGATGACCATGTAGAAAGATAGTTTTATTAGTGAAGCGTTTCCAAAATTTAACCTATTACCAGGAGAACATTTTATTTTTCATGTTGATTTATACTTTATTACAATCATGCACATGAATACATATATCTCTATATAAACATATAGTATATATACTTATATGTACATATATAATATGTAAGTATATGAGTATATATAAGTATATATCTAAGTATATAAGATATATAAGTATATAGAAATATAACTATAGTTATTCCCAATGATCCTTTAAGCCTCTATGTGAGTGCAAAAGAGAACAAAAATATTTATGCATTCATTTTTTTCAGCAAAATTTTAATGCACACTTGATTATATCCTAATTATGTGGCACCATTTAAAACAAGAATACAAATAAATTTAAAGCACTTAGATTTATTCTTGTAAATGTTATCATACATTTGGTTATCCTTTGATAGTCAGACTAAATGTTCTAACTAGGACACCAATGAATTTACCTGTAATTGAGTTATTGTTTTAAGACAGTTCTACAGGGTATGGGGTGGAGCAGAAAAGTGTGTTATACATTATGGAAATGGGATTATGTAATTAATTATAAATTTGGTTGGAAGACTTGGAATAGAGTTATAAATTATAAAAATAAGTGAGGTATGTATGAACCAGAACAATTTTTCAAGAGAGATTTGATAAACAAAGCAAGTATAATCAAGGAGAAAAATGCTGCAGCAAAAATTAATTTTGAAATTTAATAAATTTGTTATTTAGACTTCTGCCTCCACTTGTGCTAGGAGCTAAAGTGTGATGGGGTGCTTTCATACTTCCCTACTCTTATTATCTGTATTATACTTGTATTTCATAGATACAGGTGCAAACAGTGGACAAACATGCAGGCCCACCTCTCACCTGCACCCTGGCACTTACAGCACAAGCACCTTGATCATTTACAAATCTAAAAAAAAGAAAGTATTGTAAATACCTCTCCCACAAAATATCATCAAAACAGATGTTTTAGGTTTTGCAGTTCAAATACTATCTTAAATATAAATATAACTATTTTATATACATATAAAATAAACATATTTTTTTTAATTTCCATGGAAGACTCTTTCCTTTAGATATTTATAGCTGTTATATGAAACAGATGAGTGATATTTATAATTGGGAGACAGGGTTTATCAAGGTTAAACAACATTTTTAAAAGCTGTCTGGAAACCTTTAATATGTCACTTTATATTATGAATGTTCAAGAGGGAGGCATAATTTGCATAGTTTATCAAACTTATTTGAGCACAATATCTTTTGGTCACAGAATGCATCAAAAGACTAATATTGGGAGAACCATATATATTTTTTAATTGTCTTAAAGATGTCTAAAACTAAATCGCAAATGGAATTCTTTCATTTCTACAGAAACAGTGTCCTATATTAAAATATGATATCAGAAACCTACTTCAACTATGACGTCTTTTGGTAACCACTCTAGTATGAGCTATAGCACTATTTTCTCCATGAATATGCAAACCTGGAAGGTAATGCCATATTGTCAAACTTTCTCTACTTTTTGCTTTGAATTCTTAACATTGAAGAACTTGATATCTATATTTCTATCTATAATTATAGTTATAATCAAATAGATATGTAAGTATATAGATAGAGTTGTCTGTAATGAACCTTTACATCTTAATGTGTTTACATCTTAATGTGTGAGTAATTATTCATTCATTTAGTCGGCAAGCTTTTATTGCATGCCAACTAATTTCAAGATCTTGAGCTACAGTCTAGATTATCTGCATTTAAGAAGCTTATGAATTTTTGGAATTAATTATACCTGTATAAAATTAAATAAAATTATAGGAAATTAGCCATAGGTCTCATGTGAAAAATAATGCAAAAAGATTTTAGAGAAAGAAGAGATGGGTTCCGGCTATATTTTGTGATGTTTCTGTTCAGGCCCATATTGGATAGAGAAAATCTGGGCTCTCAAAGTTGAGGACAGGTGGGTCCTAACCCCAGCTAACAGAAATTTCTAAAAGAAAAAGAAAAAAAAAACAGGAAAACATAAAATATAATTTATACTGCTTACATTAGAATGTGACCAGTTGGAAGAAAGAAAGAGAAGGAGTACTGGGAAATTAATAATAGAACTGACTGGCATGACCTTGAATGCCAGGCAAGGTGTTAACAAGTAACCAGTGGCTTTTGCAATTTTTTTTAATGCAAGGTAATATGATCTCAGCATGGCTCACAAATAAGTATAGGTCTCAACACTGAGATGGATTAGACTCGAAAAGTTTCTTTGTTCAGGATCCGAAGATCAGCACAACAGCAGTTAAGGTATGCTACTGAGCACTACAGCTACCGCTGGCATTATTGGGCTAACTCAGAAATGAGGTCTTGCTCTTGACACTGAGTGATTCTATTGTTTGCATGGCAAATCTTTAGAGACAACTGCCTTTTTTTCCCTCTTGGACATGACCTCCTGCATCAGAAGGTAAGTGCCCTGTCTTAAGCTGCATCACAAGGCACAGTTACTGTGATCTGTCAGGAGAAAACACATAGAAGACTAAGCTGAAACTCTGAATAGCACCAGGAGGGGTAAGGGGCTGCCAAGTCTCCATCACAATGTATTCAGTATCAGTGCGTAATATACAGTGGAATCCAATATCAACTTCCCATCCCCCATAGTAAGAAGAAAAAAAAATGGTGAGAACGTTTATCCATTATGATTCAGAATTTTTCTTTCCTGTATTCTTATGGATGCCATCTCTTTCACACAGGATTTGAAATCTTTGCTTCTTCCTATGTTTTGCTGTCCAACTTTTATTAACTAAAGTTGTCCTTTGTAGGGCTTTGGCATTATTTTCTTAGCTTTAGTGTTTGTTTCGAGTTCAGATCGTTATCATCTGCTTTCAGTGGGGTTTTGCAAACTCCAATCTTTCCTACAAAAAGATGTGCCTCTATTATGTGTCATCAGTAGGAAAAGCTTCTCGCTCTTAAGAGCTGGGCCCTCTGCTGCTATAGGTATTGCATACACAGTAAGGATGAGAGGCACTGGATACTCTTCTTCTGTAAAGGAAAATCTCTTCTTTAGTGATATCTAAACAAAGAACTGATTCTTCTACTGGGTGTGATTATTCTTCCTCCAAGAGAATAGTAAACATCTCTCTGACAGCAGAAGCTCAGGGAATACATTGACGTTTGTGTTTGTTATTTTATTTGTTTTGTTTTACTGCTTTATTCCATCTTTGCCTAAGTGTTGGAATAACAGAGAGAAGAGGTCAGATACTGAGCAAACAGAAGGAGACATAAATCTGAATAGGGATGAGCCCCATTTGATGGACAGTCAGGAAACAACCTTCAACAAGCATTGATGATGGTGCATGAGCGGGGGATCCCCAGGCCCAGCACAGTTTGGCTAGATAGCATCCCACTGGAGAAGAAATCAACTTTTTGAATGCTCAAGGCTTCTCCCCTTCAGTATCTAGTGTACATGAGGATGGAAGGGTATGCAGGTGTTAGGATAGGAAGGAGTCCTGGGAGAGAGAAGGTAAAGCAGATAGGTATGTTCTGGGATTAAAAATAGGGCAGCATATTGTGCAGTTCTGAATCATATTTCTAACTAAAGGATTGAGAACCTCCATGAGAATGACCCAAGGAAGTAGATGGTTAAATGTAGGGGAAACTTATGGCCTTAATGTTCATCCTGAACTCCCATGGTTTTTACTGTTCTAATAGCTTGAAACCACTAATGTATGCCTTGCCATGATGCTACCTACCTTCTTGCAGTTCTTTTTCTTTTTTTAATATGGTGTTTGCAGTGATTCTCTTGTGTTCTTGAGAAAGTAAGTCAGTAGGCATCTCTGTCTCTGAAAATATGTTTCTCTCCTTTGTATAAAAGAGTAGTGAACCTTAGCGAGTACAAAGTTCACAGTTTTTTGAAGAAATATGTGTGCTTAGCTTTTCATTACAGGGTCATTGAAAGAAGCAATATGTACATAGTACATTCTTGGTCACTTCTATCCCATCAGTCTCATGAATTGTTTCTAAGCTGGCACAAAAAAGCCCCAAAAAATCAGAAGCAGGAAAATTACCTGTTTTCTCAAGAAACAGAATATTCATCTGTCATCTTCAAGTGTTTTAAATGTTTTATCTGGAAGAATGAGGCTACATTTTCAAATAAAAGGCACAAGCCAATTTCATCTTTTGGAAAAGAGAAAGGAATTACTTGAGGTGCTTAATAGTAATGTAATAGAGAGCAATGGCCTGAGACTGAAAAAAGAAGCAATTTAAATTGGACATTAAGAAAATTTCACTTGAAGCAAGGGCAATTATACAATGAAATAATTTCCTAAGGGAGAAACAGTGAGATGCCATTAAAAGAGCTGTTTAAAGGAGAGTAGATAAAAAACACTTGCACTGAATCTGCCGAAATATCATTTTATGATTTATTGCCTTACTATGCCTGTATGTCATCCTCACTGGAGATTTACATGGCTCAGTTGGCTTACTTTACAACAGGAAAGGATCTGTACAGTATCAGAAGGCTGGAATATCTGTGTTCTATATTTCTTTATGAAAAATGTAAAGCTTTAAATGGATCCTGGTTTAAAAAAAAAAACAAGTA